TATTGATATATTTTTTTTCAAAATTTTATTATATTTTCAAATTTATATTTTATTCAAAAATAAAATCATTATTGTTTTCTTAAAAACACATAAAATCGTATTATAACATCTACAAAGACACATAATAAATAGATCATTAAAATCGAGATTTGTCTCGCTGCATTGCGCGAGTACTCTTCTAGTATATATATATATATAGAGAGGGATGTTATTCTACACCCTTTGCCATTCCTACACCCTATACAACCCTCATCTCAACCATTCAATTTTTAATCAATTAATTGTTTTCTAATATAAAGTATTAATCATAATTAATAAACTCTATTCATATTCCATAAATATTCAAATCATAATAAATGAACTCCAATAATTTCTATAAATATCTCAATTAATTGGGTTGCAAAGGTTGTACAAATGCACAAGATTGTAAAAGAAATATACCCTATATATATATATATATATATATATATATATATATATATATAATTTCGAACAATATATACACCGTAGTATATTGGCGTCTTAATTTGTTTTTGGTTATAAAAATGAACGTACGTAATTAAAAGCATTTGATTGGATGAGAAGAACAAGTGTAGATTTGAAGGAGTCATATGGAAGAGCGTGAAATGCGAGGGAAGATGGATCGATGCTATTTATAGTAAGATGGACCTGAGAGGAGTATATATATATGTGGGTGTATACATAACCTCTCATCAGATCCTCCTTTCTCATATCCATGAGATAATTGGAGCTAGAGATAGAGATCGTAGAGATAGGAGATAGAGATAGGAGATAGATACAACATCCATCTCCATCTCCGTCTCCGCACGTTTGTTTGCTTGTTCCCTAGCTTTTTCTTTCATTCCCGGCTAACATACACGTCCGTCTGTTTGTTTTTCTGTCTGTCTGTAATTAAGAAGAAGGACAACCAATAATCGATCGATCGGGAACAAGCAAACATCCAACCCCCCCTCTCCTCTTTCTCTTTCTCTCTCTATTTTGATTTTGATTTTGATTTTGATTCCAAGTAAGTAGCTACTAAATAAGAAGAAGATCTAACCATGGCTAATCATTTAGTCACATCCGTGTTATCAATGGGGTTGTCAATCCTTTTTATTCTTGGTGTCGTTGCTTTGGTGGCTAAACATGGAACAAGTGACGACGATGATACTCCACTCAACAGCATGGCAATTCACACCATCTGCAAACCCACCGAATATACAGACGCCTGCCATGATGCATTAGAAGACGTCTCCAAGAACTCCTCATCCACCAAAAAGGACTACATTTTTGCTTCCTTCCGTGCCACCATTGATGAACTCAAAATAGCCTCCGAGAAAGCCACTTCTCTCAGGAAGGATTTGCATGGTAAGAAGGATGATTACTCCAAGTATGCTCGAGCTGACCTCAAGAATTGTGAGACTTTGTTAGGCCAGGCCTCCGATGAGCTCCAACATCTTCTCCAAGTTGCATCGAAGCAGAAACTAGCCGATCTACCCGATCAAACCGACCCTATCCTTGTACGACTCACAGCCATTCGTGCGTACCAAACCACATGTGTCGAGGAGATCAAAGATGACAAGCTCAAAAACGATATGCAAAACGCATTGGAAGCTGCCAACAAGAATACGTATAATTCCGAAAAGATCATGTACAATATCCCAGATATCCTCATGGAATTTGGGGTTGAGTTGGATCTTTTCCATGGCGCGATAGCTGGACACCGCAGGCTTCTTGACGACGAAGAAGAAGAACACGAGCACGATGAATATGAACACATAGAACAAGCATATTTCAAAACTCCTGAACCCGAATCTATTGATGACATAACGAACGTGAAACCCAATGTGGTCGTGGCCCAAGATGGTAGTGGTCAGTACAAGACCATTAAAGAAGCCCTTGCTGCTTATCCTTCTGATCACAAAGGAAGATATGTGATTCATATAAAGGCTGGTGAATATAACGAGGGCCAGATCATTGTAGAACAAAACAACGTTTTTATGTATGGTGATGGTCATGACAAGACAATCATTACAGGCAGCGAAAACTATGCATTCTCAAAGTGTGGAGCCTCCCAAACTGCAACATTCATTGCTCAAGGGGAAAGATTCATGGCAAGAGGTATAGCATTTAGAAACACCATCGGCGAATCAGGACTTGAGGCAGTGGCATTCCGATCTATGTCCCCACACACACTAATGGTAGACTGTAGTTTTGAGGGTTACCAGAACACATTATACTATCATGCACATGATCAATTCTACAAGAATTGCACCATCTATGGAACCGTGGACTTCATCTTCGGAAGCGGAAGGGCTTACATCCAAGACTCTGTGATCTACGTTAGGAAACCGGGAAAGAACCAAAACAACACGATACTGTCGGATAGAAGAATGAAAAATGAAGAAAAAGGAGGCGTGGTGCTTCAAAAGTGCAAGATCAAGGCAACGAAAGAGCTGAAGGCGGTGCAGGGACACGTGAAAACGTACCTGGGACGACCATACAAGGAATACTCGAAAGAAATGGTGATGCAAACGGAAATAGGAAGCATGCTTGAACCAGAAGGATGGACGAAAATGTATGAGCCGGAGGGGAACAAATATCACGACACATGTTCGATTAGGGAGTTCTATAACAAGGGAGCTGCTGCCAGTACGGAAGATAGGCCCACGAAATGGAAGGGTTATATGGTCATCAAATCTAAGAAGTATGCAAAAGGGTATTCTGCTGACAAGTTCATACATGCAGGATCTTGGGTGCCTCATGCTGGGGTTGATGTAGATCTCAAGCTTTAAATAATAATGTATTCAAGCTTATGTATTACTGCTGTCTAGTAATATATCCATCCATTTCGTTCATATATATGATATATAATCTCTCTTAATTTCTTTGTATTTTTTATTTGTTTTAATAAATTAATTTCAAAGTACATGTGCTTAAAATTTTAGGTAATATATTTTTAATTACTAAGCTCATATTAAAGTAGCCACATATTTATTGAACCCTAATTAAATAATACCCTTAAATATATAAAATAATTATTTTAAACTTTTAAATCATAATTGTAAAAGTTGATTCTCTAAAAAGAACTCGATCAAATTTGATTACATTTATATGAAATTTTTCAAGCAAAAAAACACACACACATATAGAAAGATGTTAAATCAAATGAGAACCATAAAAATGTTACAAATTTCATAAGAAATGATTTAGAAATAAATTTTTACATAATTTTTTTTTATCAAATGTTAGGACTTAAGATATTGTTTCACATATATTGTTTCATAACGTCATAGTTTTACATGTATTTGTTTCATCAATCAGGTACTTTCTGGTACTTTTGATCTTTAAAGTCAAGCTCCAACCAATCGAAAATCTACAAATCAAAGTTCAAACCAACTAGACACTTATAGTCGAAGTCGAAAGAAAGTAAGTTGAGGGTGTCGGCCTCGAAATGTGTTGGAAAAATCAAAATCTGCATGGAATTATGAGATGGGCGGGGCGTCACACCATCATAATCATAGTGACGTAGCGTAACATGACGTAAGCCGGAATCCATGGATAGAAAGAAACTGACGTACGCCAATACCTACCAGATTGCCAAGTCCTAACCTTTCTTTCTTTCTATGTGTCTTCGTCGTCGTCGTCTTCTTCTTCTTCTATATATATATTTATATATAAATATACACATAGCTCATATATCCATCATCAATCTCCATGGAAACCACCAAGCAAGAACATAACCAGTTCCAGTTTTTGCAGGAAGACGATGAGTATGAGTATGAGGATGATGATAAGAAGATGGAGATTTTCTTTTCCCTCATCACAAGGTTTAGAGAAGCACGGGATCGAAGAAGACAAGAATTGATGGCAGAAGAAGACAAGATCCACAACAAGACCAGAAAGTTACATCATCTACAATCACCATCTTCCTCTAATTCCTTCCGATGCCAAGATTTCTGCAAACACCCATCTCCTCCACCTCACTACCACCACCTCAACCTCACCCTCAATCTCAACCTCAACCAACCCCACAAAGAAAAACGACAAGAAGCACCAGCTCCTGATCTCAACCTCAAACTGTCCTTGTAGCTAATACTTCATCCCCAATTTCCAGCATCTTATATATATATATATATATATATATATATATATATATATGTTACAAGTAATTCTTAGTTATGTATCTGCTTGTAGATAGGGTAATAATAATTCATTTCATTCCATTTGGGGATCGATCGATGATATCTTCCATCTCTTTCTCCTAATTACAATCATGCATCATCTAATTAACAAGCTAAGTCGCTAAATTCTTTGCGTCCCCACATCAATAATTAATATGGGGTGGCTAATGCCACCCTTATCATGTGTTAATGCGACCCTAAGTAGTTTTTCATCATTTGTTTTATAATTTTTTATGATTATTACTTTTTATTTTATTATTAATTAAAGAAAATTTTAATTAATATATATTATTTATTTTATTTTCTGTTTTATTTATTTATTTATATTATATTTTAATTAATATAAATTATTAATAA